ATGATTAGAAATCATATCTCATATGATATCTAGAATGGAGGAATATATGATCTCTTATCTTAAGGACACGAGTATCTGATAGGATCAGAGTTGACAGCGGCTTTGGAAAGCTACGATTGCAGATCAGGATCTGAAGTCATACGCATAATAGTTATTAGACTTATCCAAGTGGGAGACTGTTGGATTAGTGTCTAAGTCCATAACTATTTTGGTATGTACTTGACCCGATGGTGCATGTCCTTTTGGGTTGCCTTCACCAAAGCAACTTGATTGGAGAAATAAATAAAGAGAGAGAGGTTATTATGATTTATTAATATGTTATAAGAATAATATATTAAAGGATAAATCATATTTGTTTAATTAATATTGGTTAATAATTAATTAGGAATTAATTTTGTGATCAAAAGTGTAATAAATTAAACAAGAGGGGCTGATTTGTAATTATGTGATAGTTACAAAATAAGGTAAGGATTATCTTAAATATAGGGTAAACGAATTTAAGGAGATAATGCCTTAGAATTCGACTAGGATAAGGGTTTCTAAGACTTATCTTATGGTTACTTGGTGGGCAAGCAACTAGATTTAGGATAAGGACTAAAACCCTAATCTTTACACCTATATAAACCCCCTAAGGCTCATGAATTCGTCTAAGCCTTCCCAAGAAGTCCTAAGGACGAATTCCTACCTCTCTCCTCTCTCTTTATACCTTCTCCATTTGCTCTTGGTGTTTGTAAGCCATTAGAGGAGTGACGCTTGTGACTCTAAGCATTCCAAAGTCAATTCAAGGAGGAATTAGGATTGTTATTGCTACATAGCAATCAATGTAACATCTTAAACCTAATTATATGTTAATATCGATTTACATATGCTAGAATTAGGGTTTATAGTCTTGGATTCAAAGCATGTACAATAGAGAAACCTAGATCCAAGCATTAGGGTTTGTATAAGCACATAGGATGTCTTATGACCAAAACCCATCACATACCAGCATGCATAACTGTTGTTCTGCAGCCTTTAGTCTATCTAGACCATAATACCAGAGTTTGTTGGCCTACCTCCTCAGCCCAGCCACTCCTTTTGAGCCTCCATGCTTTTAGCTTACTGCTAGCCCACATAGGGTATGTTGGCCTACAGCACAAAGCATGACCACCTCATCCCACCACCACTATATGTCGATATATAAACAAACATGGATCAAGCAGTCACATAATACAGACAATAACAATCATACAACTCACTCCTGCCAACTAGTCCTCTCACAAAACACAGTCCCACTACTAGCTAGCCTGCATGAAATGCGTAACCATAAGTATCCATAGGTGAGATATTCACTCGAACAGATAATCCCAGTCTAGTGCCACGACCACACTAGGAACATGCAAGGGAGCCTACACCAAGAGTTCTTAGGCTATCCTACATAACCATAGACAATCCCTAGGGCACTCTACCAGATGATAAATAGTAAGTACATATAACATACAGATCCAACAGTGCATTATAGCATAGCAACATCCTACATACCAGGATACCGATCTAACTGATCACTACAACATAACAATATACTCAATACCATAATACAGATCTAGCATATCACTACAACATATCATCATACTTGACACTAGAATAGAGATCTAACAGATCATTATAGCACTGTTTCATAATAAGTAGCAACAATCTAAGAAATGCCTAACCGTATATAACTGAGGTGAGATAGCCACCTGGACATATGACCCTACCCTAAAATAACAACCAAACAAAGAACAGGTAAGAGAGCCTAGATCAAGAGTCCTCAGTCTATCCTAACTAACTATATATAGTCCATATGACATCCCTCTACTAACAGATAATCGAAAAATAATGGGCCGATATTGGTGCCTTCGACCCACAGTACAATGAGGCGAAACTCACCTGAAATGAAGAACCCGAGAATATCACGATCTGATCCCTGCTATAATGTTTGTTCCTGTAGATCCACTAACATTAGAACCATATAAAATCTTAATTAACAATCCAAATCCTCAAGTTTTACCTAAAGTCAAACTTGGTCAAAAGTCAACAGGGTTAACAAGAGTCAAAGTCCAAGGTCAAACTGGTTAAAAATCCATAAGTCAACTGAGATAACCCATCCGATCAACTCAGCCGAGTTTACACAGAAGATGTACGCGGGGTGTACTCTAGATGTACATTGGGTGTACTCCATCATTGACTGCCATCGGGGGCTTTGACTATGTACGCGCTGCCTACTTAATTTATGCAAGGTGTTGCCTAGATCTTCCAATCCTTCATTAATTGCTTAATGCCATAAGTCCTTACATCCAACTTTCATATCCAAGGTTAAAATACTCTTTAGATTCATAAAGTTTACAACTTTATGACTTTGCATGTCCATTAAGAGCTTAACTTAACATCTTAATCCATTAAGACCCTCTAAATGATGCATAAAGCAAAACCAACCACTTAGATCCCATTTTATGACTTAGGACCCATCCTAAGGTCTGAAAGGAAATGTTAATGGGTCAAGAACATGATATGTTCATGAATCACAACATTTGGGATAAAAAGGAATAAAAAACCAACCCAACACAGGATCTAAATGAAACTTCACCAAGTTTAGAACTTTATACCTCCAAATGATGCCAAAAAGTGGTGAGATTCAAGATCTAAAGAGCTTCACTTCTCTAATATGATCTCCACTCCTTCTTTCTTCTTCACAGGCACAAAAAACCCACACTCAAGCTTAGAAATGCTTCATAAGATGGATTATTATTGCAAGAACATTGCAAGAGGATGAAGGATGATGAGGTGAGGGCAAATGAGGCTATAATGGGGTTTAAATATGAGCCAAACCCTAAAAATTAGGGTTTGCAGGACTGCAATGTATGCCCTGCGTATAGACGTATGCCTAGCGTATATGGACACGCCCTAGTATGCTTAGTGTACCGACGTATGCATGGCGTACTCCCTGAAACCCAAAATTATGACAATGCCACTAGGGCCCTTATTGCACTCATTCTTATACTTGGGGTCTAATTTTCAATATAAATAAATCATAGGACCAAAATTAAAAGTATATCATCATCGAGATGTTACAATTAGGTGGGTTACACTTGATCTCACATCTACTTGGAAGGAGAAAAAAACATTTCCTTATTAGGGGTGTGTATATCTTCCTTGTCAGAATGCACTTTACAGCCGTGAGGGAAACAGATCCCACAAGAACTCTGTAGTTAAGAATGCTCGGGTGAGAGTAGTATCAGGATGGGTGACCCCTGGGAAGTCCTCGTTCTGAGTTGCCCGAAGCAGACAATATTGTGATGCGTGCTAGAGGGGGATGTTGCAAATGGTATCAGAGTTGGGGCATGGGTCAATGTGTTCGATAGGGATGTCGAACCCTATAATGGGGGGGGTGAGGTGGATTGCACCTAATCCCACATTGGATTGGAAGCAGAACTAAACATTTCCTTATAAGGGGTGTAGATACCTTCTTTATCACAACACGTTTTAAAGTCATGCGGGCAGCAGTTCCCACACGGACTCTGCACTTAAGCGTGCTCGAGCGAGAGTAGTACCGGGATGGGTGACCCCCTGGAAGTCCTTGTTATGAGTGTCCTAAAATGAACCATATTATGATACATGTTAGAGGGGGATGTTACAAGAATTGTATCTGGTTGTAGTAGCACGTTCTTGCAATTCTCATACATCATACTGACGAAGATATCATCATCATCATGATGATCATCATTGTTGGACAGGTCGAAAGGATCTATTTTTTTGGAACTATTGAAATTTTATAACTATAAATAAAGAGAAGAATGATGTGAATGAATTTGATATAGATAGCATGTATTTATAGCTAAATAAAAATTAATAATTTTTTTATTAAAATGACCGTTGATTAGTCAAAGGAGGCAAAATTGTTCAAATAGGTTTGGATGGAAACGTGATGCAAGTCATTACCTTGGCAACACCGGACACCATAACTCCACCATGTGACGGTGTTCTAGACATTACCAAGTGTTTGGGGACCAACCATGTTGATAATAGCAAGGCAAAATGGTCCTATAACTGTAAGGTCCTAGAAACGGATCCTAACCAATGATCAATCAATCAATCAACAATAGTAAGATTTGAAGTAGAAGAAGAAGAAGAAACAAGCTTGCACACGTTTATATCATAAAAACGCCTGGTATAAATTGAGAATACTCTGGCCGCAAAATACTAAATGATCAACAACTAACAAAAGACCTTGACCTGCCCTATAAATAGAAGACTCTGGACGTAAACACATGATCTGGCCGTAAACATCCAAACAACCTATAAATACATAAAATGACTCAAAAGAACTTTTACAATGGAAAGCCTAGACCAAACCACACTACTAGAAAAAAGACCTTTAATGACGCGCTTTTTACCACACGCGATAATTAACGATACGCAAAAGGACGTGCCCTTAAAATAGTGTCATCTCTCCAAAAAATTTAAGGATTTACGTCACGCTTTATTGCGTACCCTTAATTTGGTGTCTCAAGAAAAAAAATTAAAAACACGGAGGGCGCTTTATCTTAAACGCGCGTCGTCTGTACCTGTCGCTTTATAATTTTAATGAAACGCGCTTTTAGTAGATAAGGGGGGAAATGAAATCCCCAAAATTTTGAAAACCCGCCTTTTTTTTCTATCTTCTATCTATCTTTCAACTTCAACCTAACAAGGACGAGCATTGCACTCTTGATTTCCCTAACTCTTTCTCATTTTCTGATTCAAACTTGAAAGAATCGAAAAAAAAAATCTATCAATTTTGAAGCCTAAAAAAATCTAACAAGGACGAGTATCCATCGATCCGACTTCCAAAAATAGAGGGCATTAATTCCACGTCTTTCGGGGTTGGGAGGAAGGAAAAACTGTTGGTCCCGTGTGATCTAATTGGTAGAGGGCATCGATTCCCTAACTCTTTCTCATTTTCTCCACCATCGCTGCTTTCGCTATATCCACTCTGACCTCTTATGAACGCAAATGGTAAAGATCTGCTTCGATTTCCCGATTGGTCTTCATCGACGGTGGTGGTGAGTCGGAGGTGCCATGTTGATGTGATTATTACAATCGATTGCAGAAAATGAGAAGATTTAGGGTTTTTTCTTGGTCTAGTGGAATACTTTCAGGTTTCGTCTCGACTCCTTTTATTTTATTTTCTTTCTTTTCCTTTCCTTCTGCCATCTGCTTCCTTTCCCCACCTCTTCTTTCTTATTTGGATTCTCCAGGCGATATGCTACTGTGGCGATTCAGTCGGTGGCGGGTCAGCATCAATTTCATAACATTTTAAGGGATTGTTGTTGGTGTTCATCGACGGTCGTGGTGGGTCGGAGGTGCCATGGTGATGTGAAGAAATAGAGAAAAAGGAATATAGTCATCACTTGCTGATACCGACGACGATCCGTTTTCTGCATTAGCCAGATTGAATGACTTCAAAGGAGGTTCGTATTTCTTTTGTATGTTTTTTTATCCCAATCAATGAATGGATTTTTTCCCCTGTATACGTTGGGCATCTTTCTTTTTTTTATCCCAATCAATGAATGGATTTTTTCCCCTGTATGTTGGTTTTACAACTGCAAGTATATTAATCTACTAATAATCCCAACTTGACATGAAGTTGATAAGTAACAAGTAAGAATAAATTGTGTTTCAGTGAGTTTGTGTTCGACCCAATTAAATGGCAGCGGAAGCAAATGAACGAGGACTTCCTTGACCTATCAAAGATGTTCAATGCAGTTAAATCGCTTGTTCGAGTGCCTTCTGTAGACCCCAAATATAAAATTGCTCTTCTTGCTTCTAAGCAGGTTCTTCTTCTTCTTTCTAGAAAAAATTGTTAGTGAAAACCAAAAATAGTATTACATTAGTAAGGAGGTTGCTGGTGCAGGACCATTGTCTTGTTGATCTACTGCATGCTTGGCAAAATGGAAAACTTCCGGTTCAGATAAGCTCTGTAATCAGGTAAAGCATGGAACTTTTTTTTTATTTGTTATCTTTGACCAGTAAATGATGTGTATAATATGTCTGTATTTTGAATAGCAATCATGATAGGGTGGGGAATACCCATGTGATGCGGTTCCTTGAAAGACATGAGATTCCATATCATTATCTGTCCAAGTCAAAGGAGAAGAATGTAGAAGATGAGATATTGGGGTTGGTTGAAGATACAGATTTCTTGGTCCTTGCTAGATACATGCAGGTAAATGTTTTTCTAGTAGTAGTATAGCAGCAGGATTGGGAAAAAGGTCTTATTTGTTTATTTACCCAGGACAGGTGTTGTCTGTAAACTTTTTGAAAAGATATGGGAAGGATGTGATCAACATACATCATGGCTTATTGCCATCATTCAAGGGAGGAAATCCATCTAGGCAGGCAGGTTCTGTGTTCCAATTTCCAAATTCTGTTTTAAGCTTTTTATGTTTTTATGTTTTTTACTGGAGAATGACAGGCTTTTGAAGTTGGGGTCAATTTGATTGGTGCCACAACCCATTTTGTCACGGAGGAGCTTGATGGGGGCCCAATCATTGAGCAGATGGTAATCAAAGAGTTTTAAGTTTCTCAGTATCAGTAGTATGCAGTATATATATGCTAAGGTGAAAAGTCAAATAGTTTCTGTTTGGGTTTGCAGGTTGAGAGAGTCTCACACAAGGATAATTTGCTGAGTTTTATTCAGAAATCTGAGAATCTTGAAAAAAAATACCTTATGAAGGCAATCAAGTCATATTGTGGGTTACGCGTTCTACCTTATCAACACAACAGGACTGTTGTATTTTGAGTAAGCTTAAAATGATGCTGATCAAAACTACAGAGTCCATTATATTCCTTGGGTTGCAAAGTTTTTGTATTTCATTTTAATTATTCATTCTAATTTAAGTTGTTCTTATTCCAATCCAAGATTTTTTGTTATTCCCTTCTTGGAATCGATAAAAAACCATCACTATCTCTAGTGGTGGCCATTACTCTGCTTCTGTGAAAACTGTAAAATGTGCAAAACCAAAAACATGAATTTTTGGAATTTATTTTTTTATCAGGTTGTGAGCTCTGTAAAATGCCTAGAGGATGAATTAGAACCTAACTCTTCTATATATGTCTAATGTCTTAACCTTTACCACATACAAATGAAGAAGATACCAAATACAATAAGATTAATGACGCTTTTCTTACAAGACCAAGTTGAAAAGCAAAGGAACTGTTCTTTTTACAGCAAAGCAAATAAATTTTGTAGTTTGATACTTTAAAAAAGTTGAAAGGTTACACGGTTAAGATGGAAACGAAACATAATTTTCACAACATATGGAAAATCAACACAGGTCAGCCTAATGAAAACTTAAGTAGTGGTTTGGTTTGGTATGAAAAAAATGGAATTGCTGATGGAAATCATTGTTAACCTCACTAATCAACAATTCAAAATCAATATTACTAAATACTAATCTAATGGTATATAAAATTTTCATGTTGCATAAGAATCATGATACACAATAAAAATCATAATACTTAAAACAAACTATTACATTTGAAAAGTCTTGCTGTTACTAGGAGGAGTCTTGAATTGGGGAAAATGGAAAGAAGGAAGGAAAGAAGGAGAGGTTACAGATAGACTTAAAGAAAGAAAGACTTAAAGATCAATAACACGAGAGAGATTCTGAATACGATTGAGCAAGAAATCCCCTTGCTTAATAGTCGCTTGATACAGAGCATTCTTTGCATCTGGGCGGTTGGAAGGGTAAAAAAACTGCCAACATTCTTGTAGTAATGGCATCTGCAGCTGCTGCACCAGGTGATGATAGGCGTGTCCATTTCTCTTTCTAATTATACCATCTGTTTTTTCTTGATAATCCGTACTCAGTTTGGTCCATAGTGATTTCTCTTTGATCAGCCCAAATATCCTTGATTGATAACTTTTTCATAAAATTTCTCAAACATGCACAGGATGATGATGATGATGACGTTTCTCACGAGAAGGATATTTATCTCCAATTTGGTGTAGTATTAAGTGATGTATCTGCTTTTTTTGTTGATGGTGACTATCATTGGAGTCAACGTTCGTTGACAGGAGGATTTGGCGGTTCTTCGCAGTCTAGTATCGTTAGTTTCTTGCCTATTATTGATAAGTGTGGTGTGACTTGTAAGCTTCAACAGGTATATTCATTTCAAGTTTGAAACATGATTATTATAATTATATGTTGTCAGTTGATAACACTTCATCTCTCCATCTAGATCCAATCAGAGAATCCATCTTTCCCCACAACAAGATTGGTCGTGCGGCTTCCTTTCCTTGGATTTCAGTTCCCCCCTGCGCGTTATCATTGACTGATGCAAGTTGCAAAGATCTTTCAGGGAGAGGATAATGATAACGAAGGTCTTGTCGCCCTTGGGATCAAGCTGACTCTGAGGTTGGTTAGATGTTCTTAATTGGAAGCTTGGTTTGATTCCTAGAACCACTCATGCTTTCATCCAATCCAATCAGCATTGTGATTTCTTAAACTTTTGGAATTTTTTGTTTATCGTTATTTTGGTGTAGGGTGTGGGAAATAGGGAAGCTATTTGGCAGAGGAGATATTTCTTAATCAGAAAGGGCCAACTTCAGGAAGATCACCTTATCAACCAAGTCTTTTCAAGATTTTGTGAAATTAGGCATAACCACAGACAAGATCAGAAACCTACTGATTTTGGTGAGTTTTTATTACAATTCAATTAATTTATTCACATAATTTTGATCATTTTTTTATTTTAATTTGTTATATCAGAGCTTGAAATGATGAAAGAAAGATTTTCAAATCTTTTTGTGGGGGAGGATATTTTCGATAGTAGGGACAAAATTTACTACATTTATATAAGAAGCTTATGGCTTGATCATATCAGAAAAAGAGGAAGCAGATGAAATTCAAGGTACTTTTCATCAATCATTTTAGTGTTTGACTAAGTTTTTTAACCTGAACTCTCATTGTTCATCATTTTAACTTATCTTTTATTTGATTTCATAATGCATCACTGTGTCTTTAATTCTTATCTGGTTGGCTTGGTGTATAGATGCTTCATGAAGGATTATGCATTTGTATGGATAGTATGATCTTTTCCTTCATGTATATATAGATTGTAGAATAACTTTTTTAATGTTTTGCAACCTGACATTGTTACCGGTGATATTAATTTGTAATTTTTTTAATTAAAATGAATTATTTGTATTTGACATATTAGTGAAATGAATTATCTTTGTTGTTTATGGTATTTTATTTGTATGACATTAAATTTTATGAAATGGATTATATTTTTTGTATATGATATTTTATTTTATATTGTGAGGCATTAAATGCAAATTTAATTTGAAAATTAGTAAATCTATAAAAAATAAATTTTTTTTAACATTTAAAATTATGATACGCAAACATGCGTGTCATCTTCATTTATGACATGGCCTTTCTTGACAGAGGCTTTCTTGATACGCATTGCGTGTCATTAACACGCGCGTCGTAAGGTTACGACACGCGAATGCGTATCGTCTTCCTTTATGACAGGGCCTTCCTTGATACGCATTGCGTGTCGTAACTGCGCGTCATAAATGCGCGTCGTAAATGCGCGTCGTCTATAGACGACGCGCAAAAGCGCCTCGTCTCTCTTTATGACAAGGCCTTCCTTGACACGCATTTGCGCGTCGTCTGAGCGTTTTACGATGCGCAATGAGCGTCGTAAAAGGCCTTTTTTCTAGTAGTGCCATAAACTGGACCCTTCAATCTCCCCCTTGGTTTGGGACTAGCTTGACTCAATCTTTATTGACAAGAAGAACATCTGATTTTCCCATTGCTCCGTTCCACATCCTTTTGTTGATGATATCAACAACCATAGAAGTATACTCTTTAGCATTTGGCTCAACAATATATTCTGTAACCTTGATCTAATGAAGGTTCAACTGATGAATATCCCATCTGCCAAATTGAAACATATCTCTTTTATCATACAATCGAATGCATCCATCTTGAAGTTTTATGAAAGCAGAAGCTGTAGTTTCATCAAAAATCCACTAGAGCATGGACTGCAATGATTCATCTGGATAGTTCTGAAGCACAGGAATATGTTTCAGTTGGCTGGTGGCAGGCCACATCACGATTTGAAAAGGAAGATTGGTTTTGGGATCAAGTACATTGGGGTATTTTTTGATGATTGACTCTAGAGTCTTCATTGCAGGAAAACCCTTCATCACTTGATCCTCTAAATAAATATTGAAATGTGTTGCCTTGGTATCATGTGAAGGATTTGAAAAAGGAGCATTCGATAATTCTGAAAGCTCAACCCTGGTCCAGAATTGGAAATCATGAAAAACTCTATATAAAACTTTGTGTTTCCACTCTTGCGTCTCACGAGCCACATATTTAGTGTATCATGAAATCCCCATGAGACAATTCCTGACCTATCACCATATACGTGTCTAAAACGTTACTCTTCAAGGTCTGTAACGGTGATTTTGGGCTGATCTCCAGGAGCGTTTTGATCTGAGCTCCTTTTAAACAAAAGTTGTTTTTTCTTAGCGGATTTGGCTAATTTGGCATGTTTCGGAGCAACAATATTTGGAGCTTGAGCTGGTTCCTTTTCAAATCGGTCCACAATTTGAGATGTTTGTGCAAGTGGTGGTACAACAAGGGGGATCTTGAGAAGGTAGATGCATTCTCGACTCATCAACAAATGATTTAAAGTTGTCTCCAAGTTCCTCTTCCAACTTCTTCTTCAGATCAAAGTAGTTGGCTGTGAGGAGACCAAAATGAGTCTGAAGATCAGTGATATGATTTGTCTTTAGAGTCTTGTCCTCTTCAAGATCAGCAACTTGAATTTTGAGCTTGGTATTTTCAGTCATAAGATCAGCTACCCGAATGTCAAGCTCAATATTTTTCTGATTAAGCACATTTATCTCCTTTTGAAGCCCAAGGATAGTGGGATTATCTTTTCCAGAGTGGCCTTCTCCAATAGAAATTCCTTTAGCTCAGGGGAAAGTCAATGAGCTTTGTTCTTTAGCCAAATGCATAGAAAGCCTCACAGAGGCAGCATCATGATCAGGCATAGGAGGAGAAAAATATGCAGGTGCTGAAGAACCACCAACATCAAAGGTGGTGCTTGGTCCTTCATGAGATGGTCCAGATGAGTCAGCAGTAAAAATAGGTGTTGGATGAATTGGAAGGCCTTGAGATAGTTCAAATATCAGCACACCAGGTCTTGGATCAAGCCTTCTTCTTTTAACAGGAGGCCAGGAGGTCAGAGTTGTTGTAGGATCACTCTCAGGTGGCTCTATGGTAGGAAAAACATTATCAGGTGGAGGAATCCATGAAACTGTCTCCTTAGGAATTGAATTGTCAGCCATCTGATTGGAGATAGGAGGCATAGTTTCAAGAGCATCTTTAGTCTCCCGTATCTCCGTTTCTGGACAAGCAACATCATGTATACTGTCAAAGAACAAATTGAGGTTTTCATTGGAAAAAAGATTTTCATTGCTTCCAAAATTCAAGGGAATGTCATCCTTGTCATAGCCAGTAAGATCGAGATCCTATAATGAATCATGAGCATCTTCAGTGTTTATAGATGAAGTTTCCTTAGTTCCCTAACTGTAGTCACTTTGAACAGGCACAAATGTCATATCATGTTCTTCTGCCACAAAGGCACCATGAATAGTAGCTTCATTTTCATGATCTGAAACAGTTATGACATCATCTTCTGAAGATACCTGCTCTGAAGATACATGCTCAGAAGATGTTTTTTCAGAAGACCCATGAGATTCAGATGCTTCATTCAGCTCAACAAACTTTCCAAATTTAACCAAGGGAAACTTTCCTTGAAAGATGACTTTTCCCTAGAGATTTTGTTTGATCATTCCAACAGTGTGTGGACCAAGAGACTTCATATCCAGGGTTTCTCCTTCTTTGACCATCTCTGGGAATTGCACATCATCTTGATACCAGGCGGTCACCAAGGAATTGACACCCTCCTGATGTAGATTCCCTGTCAAGCTCACAACCTCCATAATTACTGTCAGCAAATGCATATAAATCAAATTTAGAATTTTTCGGGTACCAAAGACCCAATTTTGGGCTGCCTTTGATATGACGAAAGATTCTTTTAACAAAATAAGATGTGAAAATTTAGGATTAGTCTGATAACCCGCGCATTGACAAACAGCAAACATGATGTCTGGGCAGCTTGCAGTTAGATACATCAACAATCCGACCATTGATCTGTAGTGTGTCTGATCTATGGATTCGCCATCAGTATCCGGATTTAGCAGGGGTCTTTCAGCCATCGGTGTCGATGTAGGTTTTGCGTCTTGAAACCCGAACTTCTCAAGTATATCCTCCACATACTTTGCTTGATGGAGCAAGATTCCAGTTGACTTCTGTTGGACCTAAAGCCCTAAAAACATGGTCATTTCACCTAAGAAACTCATCTCAAACCTCTTTTTCATCAGTCCTTCGAACTCTTTGCATAGCTGCGGACTAGTAGACCTAAAGATAATGTCGTCAAGATAGATCTGGACTAGAATCTGATCATTACCCACATGCTTGATGAATAAAGTTTGATCAATAGTGCCATGAGAGTATCCATGTTCAAGCAAGTTCTTTGTGAGAGTCGCATACCATGTTCGAGGAGCTTGATGTAATCCATACAACGCCTTGTCCAACTTGTAGACATGATTAGGAAACTTCGAGTTAACAAACCTAGGGGGTTCATAAACATATATTTCTTCCTTTACCTTGCCATACAAGAAGGCTGTCTTGACATCCATCTGATAAACTGTGAAGTTCATGTAAGAAGCATATGCAAGGAAGATACGGATAGCCTCCAAGTGAGCTACCGGAGCATAAACCTCAGTGTAGTTTAGACCCTTGATCTGTCTAAACCCGCAAACCACCAATCTCGCCTTATGGCGCACTATGACTCCAGAATCATCTTGCTTATTGCGGTATACCCAACGCGTGTCAAGAGACTTTTTGCCCTTAGGAAGTTCAACCAGCATCCAAACCCCGAGTTTTTCAAATTGATTTAACTCTTCGTGCATAGCATCTACCCAGCTAGGCTCATTCAAAGCCATTTCAACGTTCTTTGGCTCTATTTGAGAAATAAAGCAAGAATAGAGACATGTGTTTACATCTCCACTCTGACTTCTGGTTTTTACTCCATCGCCCAGCTGGCCAATAACATTCTCGATCGAATAATCGCGTTGAATGCGTGAAGGTATCTCCTGGATGATGTCATTGAGTGAGATGGGAAAATTGTGAATGTTGATAACTCCATCATTTGCTGAAGGTTCCACATCAGGTGAACCTATCTCATTAGAAGGATATGCCACAAACTCATTTGCGATCTACTCAGGAAAGAGTAGTTCCATGAAAGTTTGAGTAGAAGCAGAAGCATCTCTAGATATAAACTCTCTTTCAACAGGAGTAAGAGGTGTAGCATCAACATCTGGAGCATCATGTTGAGCTGGATATTCTGGACAAGCAAGTAGAATAGATGACTCCCCCGTAGGAATTGAAGAGGATACCGTTGGAGGTCTGTAAACAACTTATTCGTCTTCATCTTCAGGAACAATCTTCAAACCAGAGGAAGAACCAGACGAACTATATGAATACATATAGAAGTATTTGAACAAAGATGTGTAATCAAACAACCAATCAGGACCAACTCTAGCATCCGTATCATTCTCCTCCAAACAGTGCACGTCGAAGGATTCTACAATCTGCTTTGTCTTCTTATTGTAAACCATATACGCAGTGTGTGTAGCATACCCCACGAAGTAATAGTCATCGAATTTGGCATTGAACCTCGGGTTGGACTCCAGGTGAAGAAGGGTGCAAGGGCAGCCAAATACACATAACTGACTGACTGAAGGCTTATGACCAT